AGTTCCCCCTCGCCCTCTAGGTCACTGTGAGTCAGCATCAACTCGATGGCAGCGAGTGGATTCTTCAGTCTTTTGTTTTCTGTCACTTTGGACCCTGTCACAGCCCCTTTCTCAGCTGTCACCCTTCAGCCATGCTGGGTCTGTTTCTCACGTTCTCCACCTAACCTGGGAAAGCAGGTAGCCTGGTCATCTTAGCACTGCATTTGCATAAGCGCGCACCTGCGTGAGTGCGTAGGAAGATGCAAGCTACCATACTAAGCATCATCCAACATATTTTTCTTCTCTTTCTAACGCCCAAAGGGATTTGGAAGGACATAATAGCACCCCCTTTCTGTATCAGAAACAGCCATGGGATTTAGTGTCAGGCAGATAGCTTTCAAACCGCACCCCATCCCCACCTTTGTAGAAACGAGATCTTCCCCAAGATTTCTCTCTCCTTCTGAATCTTTTCCTCAACTTTCAGATGGCTGTAAGAGCAGGCCATACTTCACAGAGCGGTTAGGAGTATTCTATGAGAATACAGAGGTCGTGTCCCATTACAGGTGACTTGCACAGGCTGTAAAGTGCCTGGGTAGCACCAACATGGAAGCACTCAGCTACTGAGAGGTTAGTAGTTCAAATCCACCCAGCGGTGCCTTCAAAGAAAGGCCTGGCAACGTACTTCAGCAGCAATTGAAAACTCTGTGGGCACGGTTCTGCTCTGAAGTAGATTCGGCCACTAAGGATTAAAAGGGACTCAAGGTGCCTGGTGTTGCACACGGACTCAGTGCTCCAAACAGTCCACTATTAATACGAGGGGAGTCCAAAATGTTTATGGGAAAATTCCATTAGGCTTTCATTCCATTTTTTCACAAACTTTTTTGCCCTGGTGGCAAAGTGGGTTATGTGTTGGGCTGCTAACTGCAAGGTCAATAGTTCGAAACCACCAGCCTCTCATTTGGGAGAAAGATGAGGTTTTCTGCTCCTGCAAAGATTTACAGTCTCAGAAGCTGTATTAGTCTGGGTACTTTAGAGAAACAAATCCACATGTAAAAGAAAGAGTTTTATATAAAAGTTAAGTGTGCATCAAGAAAACATCCCAACCCAGTGCTGCCCAAGCCCACAAGTCCAACATTAACCCATTAATCCATATGTCCAACACCAATCCATAAAGTCCTCCTCCATCTCACAAAACATACACTATGATGCCCACTGCAGGAGGAAAGCCGAGTCAGTGAATGTGTAAGCATCTCAGCGCTGGCAGGTCTCCACACGGCTGCTCCAGCACGTAGGGCTGCATCGGGGTAGGTCCATGCTGCTTCTCCTTGGGGATGTCTTGCAGCAAGTCAGCCTTGCAAGCTGAAGCAGGGAACTGCTAAGGCAGCTGCACCTTGGTCTGACCATCACAAAGCAAGAGACCCAAGAACTAGAAAGGCGAGGCTCACCAAGCCATTTATCCCTCTGCCCTTCAATTAGCCCCACATGTGTTTATCGGCCAGGTTGGCACAATAAACTAACTAACTCAGAAGCCCAGAGGGGCCGTTCTACTCTGTCCTATAGGGTCGCTATGAGTTGGAATTGACTCAATAGCAGTGATGACAAGTACTTTACGAGACCACGATGATGGGTTTGTTTGTTTTTTAATTAGGAGAAAGGTTATCAGACCCAAAGAAACAGATTCTGATGGTTATGAAGGTGGGAGGGGAAGGGGAGGTGGAGAGTCACCAGGTAGAGAGTATACGAGTGTAAACTTGGTGGAGTGGGGGTGGGGATAACAGCTCACAAAAGAGAGATGGGATGAAATGTGGGGGCAGAGCAGCCTG